AAATTAGAAGATAAGCATTTTTGTAAAACTATAAAAGCAAGAAAATCTTTGAAATAAAGACACATTTTATTCTGACACTCTAAAGAGCCGGTCATCTAAAATTGTTTCGTAATTCGCGCGTTCAATTTGAACGGTCATTATAAAACTTATGGATTTTATTATTCAATGCAGATAATTGTATATTTATTACTGAATGTACTATATAAAATAAAAAGTTTTCGTGGAAATTCGTTAAATAAATTTATATAATTTTTAAAATTAATTATAAAAGAAAAAATAAGACTAAATTTTTATACAGAATGTTATGCATGTATATATAATAATCTCTATTCGACTTCTTCACATTGTTTACAAATTATTTTAGTCTGGAATGTGCATTTTCCACAAACATATTTTTCGCACTTCGAAAAAATTTTTGTTGTTTTATAACCTTAATAAAATTTGATTTGATAAGCTTTTCGTACAGGCAAATCAGAGCTTGAAGAGGTTGTTGAAAAACGTTTTTTTCTTGAGATACTATGTATGCATCTCCGAGTTCTGAATCTAACTGGAACAACAAATTCTTGCCTCAAAATATTTTCACCCGTTGTTTCTTTGTGCAAAATCTATCTCAGTTTCGGATGTCAATAAAACTCTCTTTCTTTTCTGTCCTGGACGCTAGTTTATAATATTCTCCTCTTCACTATCTCTTTTTGATTCCAATTCACTTGATGTAAATATCTCTGTTTCCACGTTTTTGTTTTCATTTCGAGAGGTTTCTTGTTCATCATATTCTGAATTCTTTTTTTCAATTTCCGTTATATTTCTTAGGTAATTTGTAATTTTCCAATGCTTTGACATTTTTAGGGTTACTATCTACAACAAATTATTACACTATGTAAGGAATAAAAAATGTCCATCCAAAAATTGATGCTTTACCTTATCTCCTTCAAATAAGCAGTTGTAAAAAAATTGCAAAATAAACTCGTTAGAAGTGCACTACTACTGTGTCAAGTATATATATAAAAGATATATACCTCTGAGTTAACGGTATAATATTTTTCCCACTGAAGAAAATATTATATGCATATTCTAAGAATTGGAATTGGTTTGATAACGGTGTTACAACGTTTAAGAATGTGTAAGTTTTACAATAGTTTGAAAAATGTCCAAAAGACCAGTACTGGTAAGCTTAGTGTTAAAAATCAAATATTTGTATTATAAATTACTTCGAAGTATAAGTTTACACCTGTCAAAGAATTCTAACTAAAATATTCATATATTATACGTTGTTATTTGATAGTGCTACGTAAAACAATAGTCACTCCCGTACTTTCTTCAAAAAAAACCAAGTATAAAATTCACTAAAAAATCTGGAGAACTAAACCGACTGGCCTCTCTCTACAAGCAAAAAGAGGAGTTTCGGACAATATTATCTATGCATGTTGTTGATCAGTTGATGTATCGACCCGAGTCAACTGTTACAATGTGAATCATCGATTCTTCGGCAATGTTGTGCGGTTTCCTTAACGGAAGCTGAGTATGCAACCTGTTCGAAAAAGCACACCTGGTATCCTAGCCAAAATTTAATGCTGATGCGCTGCTCAAGCACACACTCTGCTCTCCACAAGCCGTGGATATTATCACTCCAAATGTGACAATTTTGTTTATTGACGTACCCATTCAACCAAAAGTGAACTTCATCGCTGAACAAAACGAAATGTTGCGCTCTTTACCATTATTTTGGTAACAAATTTTAACATTTGGCAACATTTTTCTGGAGTATTCATCACAGTTTTTCTTTGAGATAACAGGTAACTGATTTATATATGCATACACCTCGAATGCAAAACTAGCAGGAGAATGCAAATTTGTTTGATATGTTTCGTTATTTAGTTAATAAGATATTAAAAGTACTCGGTTTTTTTTGATTACACATTTTCGATTCGCAATTTCTCTACTCAAATATCGATGTTTTGATGTGTGCATATATTAGATTGTCAAAAAAGTCTTGCGGTATTTTCACTAGTTGGCGCTAAGAGCGAGTAGTTCTTGTTTTATTCGTCACATCGGGTCATGCTATACCTTTTTGGAAAGCTCATTTCACGCGCTAACACGTGTTTGATTGATTGTCGTTTCTTTTAAGTCGTTCGTGAGTTATAGCGTCGCAAACATGGAGCAAAATAAAGAGAAAATACGGCATAGTCTACAGTACTACTACGATAAAGGCAAAAATGCATCTCAAGCCGCCAATAAAATTTGTGCAGTTTATGGACCCGATACAGTTTCCATTCCCACCGAAAATGCGCCACGCTCCGGAAGGCCTGTCGTCGAAAATTGCGATAAAACCGCTGAATTGGTCGAAAGATACCGGCATAGTAGCAGCCGTAGCGTCGGTCAAGAGCTGGGCATGAGACATGAAAAAAAATTTTATGAACAATTGAAAATTCAATAAAAATACCGCAAGACTTTTTTGACAAGCTATTACATTCCGTCAGCATAAAATCATATCAACGACGAGTTACCAACCGACCAAATATTCACCATGCGACTTCTTCAATCTGCTGCTAGAGAAAATAATTTGAATTGCTGAACTTAGTCGAGCAGGTACAATCTTTTATAATGTGTACATCTGCTGACGTATGCAGATGATAGTGATATAATGGATCTCAACACCCGCGCCGTTAGTTCTGCTTTCTCCAGACTGGACAAGGAAGCAAAGCAAATGGGACGGCGGAAAAAACTCCACCTTTGAAAGTATTCGACGCAGTACCCACCGGGGGAAGCAGACGAAAACCTCCACTCCATTGGAAGGATCGGGTAGAGAAGGACCTGGCCCTGGAATATACAAAAGAAGAAACGACTGGCGTGCTGTTGTTAACTCGGCTATAAACGCGTAAACGTGTCTACGACTTTAATTCAAAAATCTCGTAATATCCATAAATTAATAATGTGTAAAATGTCACACAATGTGTCATATTATTTGATTTGAAAACGCACAAAAGACATTTCCTGCAAGTGACGGCTATTGAAAGTAGCAAAAATGTAAGCATGTTACATTTTCGCTAAGACCAGACGTGTCGGACAGTTAAAATAAACAATTTTTTAGTACCTTAAGCTAATGAAGTAACTTATCTTGGGATTCACCTGGATTGAAGGCGAACGGGGCGACAACATATAGCGAATGAAATAACTTGAATGAAGTTAAGAGCAGCAAATTTTAATTGGCTTTTCAACAAAAATTCTAAACTCAGCCTAGACAACAAAGTCCTGTTATACATTCAACAGTGGGGTACGTCCTGTGCAACCAACATTGATATGTATAATTTTATACAAAAGTTTTAATCTAAAATGCTTAGATCAATCGCGGTTGCACCATGGTACATGTGTAATGAAAACATTCACAAAGATCTTGATATTACTATGGTAAAGAAGGAGATAGAGGACAGCATAATGACATATATTTCCAAACTTCCCGAACATCCAAACCCATTAGCTAATGTCTTGGCAAATTTCTGCAATCAAACACGCTTAAAAAGAAGTGATCTACCTGCCTACTAGAAAGCCACGTTCTACCAAAAAAGCTCAACTACATTCTTGAGCTTATTTAGTTTTAAATAGATTTAAGATTTGGGGCTTTACTAAGCAGATTCAATAAATAAAGAAATATTGGAAAAAATTTAGAATAAAATTCAGCTATTGTTTGAGCTTTAACAAATACAAATGATTTTATACCAGAAATTCTAGTTTATTCGCAAATGTAAAATAAATAAACAAATGTAAGTACAAATGTTCGTACTCGTAACTACTAATATATGGTATATAACATTGATTAAAATCGAACATAATATGTATGTACGGTAAGTATGTTCTTTTTTTTTACCAACAAGTAAGGTAACTTACATTCAGCGCGCCTCCGCGAATATTTAGCAGAATATCCAGATGTATAGTCTTCCATTTTGGAAATGTTTAGGTCTGTTACGTCAATTTCAGTGCCTACTTCCTTGTGTTCCTCATGAATATTTTCAATGTGTTCTTGGGATTGGTCGTTAGTATATGGAACTTCCACGATCTCGTAGATGGGTCTTTTAGTTTTCAATGGAGGAGTAAATATGTGTAAAAAATCACGAGCTTTAGCTTTTTTAACTGTATCTTCAGCGTATTTAGTAGAATCAGTTGATTTAATTACAGCGCTTTTAATAAAACGTAACTTTTGTTTAGCCGTATGAACTGAAGTATCAAAATTTTGGGAGTCATAAATTCCTTTTAAAAAGTTTTCAGATTTTTGCTCTAAGCTTTCATTATGCACTATAAGCTTTTTTATAGATTGCGGCAGAGGAGGTGGCGAAGGTGGACGAGCTTTTACTATTAAAATTTCAATTGAAGTTTCGTATGATATGCGTGGTAAAGGTTCAAAGAAGCCAGGCATGCGATGAAAGTTAGGCGGTAAAGGCGGAGGAGGGTTTGAAGTTCCTCCGCCTTGATATGGCAAACTGATAAGGTTCGTTAAAGAATTAGACCATTGCTGTAAAGAAGCACTATCCTTTATGTTAGTAACATTCATATTTGTAGATTTACTATTATTTTTGTCTGAAGCTGCTGTAGTGTTAATAATAAATTTGGATGATTCAGTATAAAAAGGAATATCACTTAAAGTAATTTTTTTACTGCTCGCTACTTCTTTAGGTGTCTCATTAATTTCTGACAATGGCGGTGATAATAAATTTAGTGAGGACTTAATTTGTGAATTATTAGATATTTCACTATTCTTACCAACAGATCCATCGGATAACATTTTAATATTGGAAAAATCCTTACATTTATTAATTAATTCTATACCATCAGTTGATGCATGCCTACACTGTTGGTTAAAAATTACATCTTTTTCAATCAGCATTGTGTCATTTGCATTATTTATGGAATCATCTTTCTTTTTCGATAACAAAGTATTTTCTGTTACCATATCGGAAAAGTCTATCCTTTCTTTCTCAAATAATACAGCACTTTTAGTAAGAGAGTTTTCATTCTCTTCAGTTATTGTACTGTCAAAATGCTGTATATTTCTATCTGGATGCCATTGTGTATGATCTTCTAAGTAGTTTGCTTTTTCTTTCACACGTGATTCATCAGTTTTAGTAAGTGAGTGTTTGTTCTCTTCAAATATTTTATTCTCCAAATGTTGTTTATTTCTGTTCGAAAGCAAATTTGTCTGTTCTTCTAAGTACTTTTTCCTTTCTTCGTCACTTAAATAGTAATCGTGAGCCACATCTGAGGCTTTTATTCCAGAATAGGGATTATGTGCCTCAGCCTTCTGCGGTAAGTGAAGAAGTAACTCATTTTCATACAGTACTTGTGAGGAATCAATACGTAAATCATCAGCAAAATGTTCCTGTAATGCCGATTCATCATCTATGTATGAAACAATTTCTTGAAACCATTGTTCTCGAATATCTATTTTGTGAGGTTTTAATGTAATTGGCAAAAATTTGTTTTGCTTTCCCGGTTTTGCTGTTAAGTATAACACATTTTCGACGACATTATTCTCAATATTGCAGTCTGGTAGTTTAATAATGTTTTGTAAAACAAAAATTGACCGTTCTTCATTTATTTTCCTTAGATTAGAGATTAAAATCCTCGATTTAAATAAAAATAAATATCGATCGTGAGATTTTTGAGCAGAATCTTTTATAGTCCACCAATCGTGGTTAAGTAAACGTCCGATTTTATATATATTACCTCTATATCCTTCTATGCTAGATAAAAGTTTATTATGAAATGCTCTATTAGGAACGCTAAGCATTAGTTCCAAGGCTTTTTGTAAGTCTTTAGTATTTTCAGGCACATTATGTGAGTACTTTATTAATTCCTGAAATAAATTAAAAATACATAGTATTCTATGGCTAAATAGTCAAATATTTTGCGTTTTGTGTAAAACATTTTAGTTTGTCAATATATATACAATGTACAATGCATATCACTCTCATAGATACATCAGCATCAAGAACTGTGTGATTTAAAAAACTAAGATTTTCCGTTACAAATTTATTACTATATATAGAAAATAAAATTGTCAATTTAATTGGTATAAAATGCCATCATTCTTAAAATTTAACAGTTTGGAGCCTTCTAACTCGATACGAACCAATATACGACAAAATATCAACCTGCAATTGTCTTGATTATTTCATAATTAAATTTGACATATTGAAAACCGCACAAAGAAACAAAAATAATACGCCAACATTTTTTGTTAAAAGAAAACTTCTATCAACAACTATGTTTATACGTATATACAAATGTACACAAATAGCTGGAAAAGTATAAACATACATATATAATTCGCATAAATAAAACAATTTTTAACACGATTTTATTCCAATTAGCACGATTCAATTTACTTCTCAGATTAAGTTTAGAGGAGTTCCTTTTTTGTAGATACCATTTTACCGTATAAAAACAGAATTATGTGTATAACTAAACTAAGTAACCGACGGTACCCTAAACATTTTTGCTAATTCTTTCTAGACATATAAACTATATTATATTGCTTTGATATCCGTGATCCCGACAAATGAGATGTTTCTTGGAGTGAAAGGGGCGAGTACAAAACGTCAGATCGATATCTGAAAAATGGAAGGACTAGTTCGCGCATATACAGATAGATCGACATGGCTAAATCGACTCATCTCGTCTCGCTTATCATTTATATACATAATATATATGTATATTATATGATTTCCGTCGTTTTCTTTTGGATGTCACAAACCTCCTGGTATGTATACTTGGCTCTGGCCATAATTAAAAAATCAATATCTTAACTTTTTAATTGATTAATATTTGAAATATTATAAATAAGAAAATAAAATATATTAGTAAATATGAATTATATACTTATATTTAAGCAAAGAATTTATAGGTGGAAATAAGAACCAAATATTTTTTGGAAAAATTCAATACTAAGTTTCTTTCCAGCGAACATATTATACATTTTGTCCCCGGGGGTAGTACATTTCTATTATCGTTTGAACTCCACAATAAAAATATTGAGTAAAATTTTATCTAATGTACATTCCGATCTAAAGGTAAGAAGTTATAACGACTTAGGGGCTCAAAACTAACTTATTTCGATTTTTTTCTTTGTACGATAGTGCAAATCCATCTTATGAATTCCGAAGTTCACTGCGACCAGTTGCTCCGATTGACGCCAAGCCAGGATAACATTTATCAACCCATTTCTTACAATCGATAGCTATCCCTAATACATTTTCATTATCTTTTTTTAAATTCAGCAGCAAGCAGCATTCGTCAAATAAAACCAAACGGCAAAGCAAAAACAAAAATTTTAATATGCAAATATATATGTGCGTATAAGTAATTAAGTGTAGATAGAACGTAGTTAGGTATATTACACTTTTTATTATATTTTAACATTTTAACAATATATAAGCTCTTACACCGTTTATACATATGTATATTGCGTTTGAATATGCTATACACCTAGCAGTTTTTACTTAATAACTTTGAAATACTTAACATTAAAACTATTTTCTTTTGGTTATATCTTTGGTATGCTTTATTAAACCTAAACATGTCAAAAACTTTTATTCCGAATATTAAAACTGAAAATTTTTTCAAAACAAGAAATAGCATTGGTTAAAATAATATTGGTAACCCGTAGTATGTGGTTTTTCATGAGTTTTAAAATTCTATTCGGCGTTGGTCAAAATAATATTTGTAACCCGTATGTATGCGGTTTTTCATAAGTTTTAAAATTCTATTCGGCATTGATTGAAATAAGTTTTGGCAGGTTTCCAGTGGGGTATAATCTCAAAGTTCGTTTGGGATTAAGGGATTGACTAGGCATACAGACCACATTTGCATCCTTAAATCACTCAGATACCAACATGTGTGTTTCGGGTCGTTGTCTTATTGATAACACCATTTTTTCTTCAGTATGTGGTAGCATCAATAAAAAAATAATTCGCCACTTTTTTTCTCCGGTAGAACTGCACTTATTTTTATGTTCAGAGGCAAAAGCTTCTATTTTCTGAAAGTGTGGCTTTACGCCCATGTACATTATCGCCGAATTGTCCAAGAACTAGCCTTAGTTCAACTGCCGCTGCAATTTGTCGCAAAGCCACAAACGAGTCCTTTTTTGTAATGAGAAGTACTATATATTATGATCGTCAATCAGTGGCTTTTACGACCGATTCCAAATAATTTATTCTTTTCAGTTTATGGTGTTTAAAGGAATATACAATTACAAATACTCCAATACTTAAATTGATATGAATAATACTTGAAAATAACTACTTATTTTTTTTTTTAATATTACTTACACTTCATTGGGCAACACAATTTAATGAAGCAATGATAACTTGGCACTCAAACGCGTAATTAACAAAATAGTAATGCAAGTTGTTGATACGGACGTTCTACTCATTCACTTTCATTGTTGAAATATAACGGTATAAAAAATTCACTAGCTAAACTCACATATATCATATTATATGTCCACAAATATATACAATCTGCAAATGAGTTAGTTTTTATTACTTGTGAACGCTTGCAGTACAATATATTAATAGTAACACAGTTATAGCGGAGAATGGTTAAGGCTAATTTCTACCACCAAGAAAATAACATGTAATGAGTGCATATGAAAATTTAAAAAATTAGGTTTATACTTTACCTTTAATAAAAACTGGTAGTCATTTATTCTCTGAATTGGTAACTTTAAATGTTCGCACAGATTTTTGTCGTCCCCAATTGCCTTGGATATTTGCTAAATTGAAGAAATAGAAAAATTAATCTTATATTATATCAAAATAAGTTGGGTTTGTGTATGTTCGTTATAGCTGACTAAACCGTTGCATGAAATGAAAAATGGCCTGAACCATTTTGAAAGCAATACAATGAGGACGGTTTGTAAAAAAATTCAGAAAATTTTATTTTTTAATCGACTAAAGAGCGTAAATTCCAATAAAAATCATTACTTACTTTTAACAGAAAATTTTAAATTTAGACAGAGAATTTTATTTAAACTCCTAACGATTGTACGTATCCCCTAAAACAAAATCGGACTATAACCACGCCTACTTCCAAAACCAAATTTTAAAATTCTATTTGATTATTTCACTTTCCAGTATACAAATCAAGAAATAATTAATAAAACAGAATGAAATTTTGCAGTAATAGTTCCCTTCAAGTATAGCGCCTTTTTCCGTCCGTTCCAAAACAATTTTTCCTTTTTGCCTTAAATCATTTGCATTGGCATTCCAGTTTAAATCTTCCCCTTTACATTAACCGTTTAAAACTTATAAATCTCCCTACACTCGCTAGTCGTAGGGATATGCTTGGTATAATATTTCTTGTAAAACTCATCAATGGGTCAGTGTGTAGCCCATCTCTCTTGTCTGATATTAATTTTAACATTCCCGCTCGCTCTACCAGGCAGTTTAAACCTTTGCTTTTAAARTTTTCTAGAACAAATTTCGAGTTAAACGAACCATTGCGCCGTATATGTCACGATTTCAATTCTCATTCCAGCACATTTGATCTAACAGATTCTCTCTTTACCATTAAAAAAAAAAAAATTTTATCTACTCTTAACAAGTAACATTCAAAAATTATAAACTTTAATCTAATTCTTAATTTTGGCTGTTGAAATTTTTGTTTCTGTAGCTGAGCAGCTTAAGATCGCAACGCTTAAAACTCTCTTGCCTTTTATGACTCATCTAATTTCGCGGTTTGGCGGGAGGAGGGTAATCGTTGGTATTATTATTATTATTATTTTGACCAAAAATTGTCCAAATCCGACCCCCATATACATAATACAAATGTTTCGAACTCCCAGGAGGTTATGATGGATATATCAGCCAATATTTGAGTTGTCTCAATGAAATTGAGAGCGCTTGTTTTAATCATAAAAGAGTATCTTTGTGCCAAAAATGAATAAATTTGAGTGAAAACTTGACCTAACTTTGACTTTGACCATATTATTGGATAATATCGGGTCGATGCTTACTGCAGTCTATTACATATAATAACTTCGCTTTTCTAACAAAAGTTATGCCGAATTTTTTGGCCAGTGTATGAGTTTCCGATCCTCTGGTTGACGTGTCACTCCTTAAATATTTCCCTGGCCTTAATTCTAGCAAGTTGCAAGAGTATAAAATGTTCAGTTGCACCCGAACTTAGCTCTTCCTTACTTTTTGACATTCCTGTTCGTACAGTTTTGGTACTTCATATATTTTCCCGTTATATTTCTTATTAACGCGCGGATAATGAGAAATTCTACATAAACTTCAATATGACGTGCACTGGAAATACGAATTAGATATGACGATTTCACAAAAATGAAGAATAACAGAACCCCAAAATGTAGTAAAATAAAGTCGAGGCTCCTGTGAAGCAAACAATTATGTTACCAAATTGTACAAACTGAAAAATAGCGTGGAGAAATAATTTTCATGAGTCAACATATATTTTTAAAGTTTAGGGTTTTGTTAGCAATAAACCAGATGATGCGTATGGGCTAATAAATTTAAGAGAAGAAAGCTTGGCCAGGACATACTTGGCCATCCAGACTAAAAACATCCCTCTATAGGTGCTAAACTCTGGAATTAGTAGCGATTGACCTACGAAAAAAATGTTTTACACATGGTCAACTGCATGTTGGTCTATCGCGGGTCGGAGGTCCTGAAAAGCAATTTATATTGCTGCCACAAAATAAAATAAATTACTTTTCAGGAGCAGAGAAAGTAAAATATATAGCGAAGGCATTTCTACAAATGGGGAAAGTTCTCTCATCGCCATTCACTTGGGAGTGGCCAGAAACGATTCTTTTACATATGACTCAAGCAGCTCACGACTTCCGGTCCTTGACCAAGTATCCTCTGGGTAG